GTGTGTGTGTGTGTGTGTGTGTGTGTGTGTGTGTGTGTGTGTGTGTGTGTCAGGGGGGGGTTTCTTTTTTTTTTGGAACCTCTTCTGTAGGTGTGGCCTGCTTTCTGGGTCCACTGGTGGAACCTCTTCTAACTGGTTCGGTAGATTTTACGAACCGGTTCTACCGAACTGGTGCAAACTGGTAGGAACCCACCTCTGCTCTATATACTACAGGATATAATCAGTTTGTCACTATACTAAATTTGGGCCTAGATTTCTGACTGTTCAAGATTAAGTAAGAAATAGTAAGTAGGCATAATATTTAAACAATCAAACCTCTTATAATTAAAAATGTAGCCACTTTTAATTATATTCATTTCAACACTCCCCAAACATGCTGCTTCCTCTCTGATAAAAATTTTTTCTAGAGATCTACAGAATTAAGTCAGTTACAAGCAACCTGATATCCCTGAGATGTTTTGACTTAATGACTTTACTTTGCCTTTCCAGAAAACCATCTTGCATTTATCTATAAAATATTATTTTATGTCAATTTTCTGATATGAAGAAACCTTCATATCAAATTTAGTATTGGGTGTTATATAACATAATACAAAGACAAGTCATTCTTTTTTAGGTTAATGGCCATATTCAGCTGCAGTATGTGTTTTCATTTCTACTGAAATTATTCCTTGTTTTCAATACAATGTTTAAAAAATATTTGCAATAACAGAATTTAGCACCGTTAAGCACAACCACATACTATGTGGAGCACATCAAAATATTATAATCTGATCACCTGCTGTAATAAAATTGAGATTTATTATCTGTTAGTGAGCTGCTGCTATTGTTTCTCAGTTAAATGCATTTTTTTCACAACACAATTTTAAAAAGTTACTGAAGCATAATTTTTGTAAAAAAAATTACAATTTAAAAAGAAAACATTGATTATATTCTTGGGAGAAATATATTTCTGCTGAATGTAAAATACATCAAAACCTTACTTGACTTAACAACTTGGATACTTTCTGAACATGATTAAAGTCTAGCCTTCCGAGTACAGTTGGATCTTTGCTCATTTCTTGTTTTCCTTTTGAATATTCAGCCTTCAAAACAAAAAGTAGATATATTAATACTAATCAAAATTTAACTGGGCTTGGAAAAGACAAAACAGGATTTACTCACAGAATTCTATATGAATAATAAAAGGGAGACAAGAAAAAACAAAAAAATCTTGTTTAATAATAGCAACAAAATAAATCTCTCCTCAAATGCTAACCATTTGTCACCTTCTATTTTTTACATGTAATTTATGTATTGAAAAATAGTGTTGCTTAGAAAAATCTTTATTGAATACTTTCTTATCAATTCTAATTCAATCTGATAAAAATAAGAATTTGCTTTTGAAATTTCTTTCAGAGTTAATGAAATAGTGAAATCCTCATGCAGGACACCCCTTCTGTTTTGTCATGAAAAGTTATGAAAAGATCTAACACTGGATGTGAATGACCTTTAACTATATAATTCCCTCTCCACTAGACTGTTGACTCTTTGGAGAATGTAATATCAAAAACAAGCTATGTGAAAGATGTTCTTCTATGGAGCTTTTTCAGAATGAGAATTGTCTACTTAGATTGTCTACAGTCGATCTCACCCCATTCCTAAGAAGTCTTTAAGGGGTGTGCATTAGAGCACCATCATGCTACTGTCCCTATCCTAATATTCCCTTGTATTCATATTCATTTCATTTCATAATCATGTTTATGCTTATATCTGTTATCTAATTCAAGTTTGACAAAATAAAAAAAAAAATTTTTTTTTAAAAAAAGCAGATAGTCAAGGAAACTGTTATAAAGGAAAGATAAAACAGCAACACCAGTGGCACTTTTAAGAATAAAATTAGTTCAGAAACACCACCAATAGAAATTAGAAAAGAGGTCCTCAAATTTAAAAATAAAGTAGGATATAAAGAAATATCTTTTATGGAAGAAAAACATTTCTAATAAATTGCACTACAAATTCTAGTACAGTATTAAAAGCACAAACAGGATCTGGCAGAATTAATGACTATCCGATATACTATGTTAATCGGCTGTATATTTATATAAACATATATCCTTAAAACCTAAGATAGATTGAGTCAATGAATGAAACTGTAAGAAAATTTAGGAAATTATTAACATATTTTGAATGGTCAATTAAACAAATATATTAAAGGAGAAATATTCAGTGTTCTGTATTAATAAATGTTTTCTTTTCAGACATAAAACTGTAAAACATTATAGAAATATTGGAAGTTTACTATTTTAAAGGTACTATCAAGAAAGAAAGATATTTTGGAACAAATACTTAAGAGTGTCTAAAATAGAATACATTACTGGCATTAGTTCACTTTCACATCATTATCATCATTAATCCAAATGCAAGCTTAAAGTTTCAGTTACTAAGTACAATTACCATAGTTAATCTATACCAAAATGCAAACGTGATAACTGTGTCTTTTCAAAAAAAATTATAAGAAATGTCATACATTGCTTATTATCTTTGTTAGCTTTGTTGCCATCATTATATCTGGTCTATTGGAAATTTCAGTAAATTTGTGAATATCCTGGAGATGTTTTTTATATGAAACCTGTAAAATAAAATATTATGAATGTCTTGTGATAGTGAGCTCTACATAAATAAACATAATACAACATAATAAACGTAATAAACATAATAATATACTAGGATAAAATGTTTATTAACATTATTATATTATGCAATGATAGGATAAATAAATGACATATATATAGTAAAATAATACATCTTTTTTTTTAAAAAAAGATGAAAATGCTGTATATTAAACACATTAGAATGCATTATTGTTTGAGATGATAGAAAATATCATTTTATGATAATTCTAAAACAGCTAAATTGACTTAGCTTCATGTTTCTAGGCATACTTCAAGGTGGGAGTGCTATCTTAATGCTGTGCATGTGTTGCACGTAAGAATTTTAAAATATTTCTTTTTCACGCCTCTTCACTCTGTAATAGCTTAGTAACTAGACAAGGCCTTAGTGAGAACAAGATTCAAGAATTACCTGCCGCTTCATTATCACTGCCATTTCAGCACTAGAAAAAGATGGATGTGTGGAGTTCAAGCTAAATAGTTTGTTCCACCTATAGTACGAGAATCTCCCCAGTCTCCCTTGGCACAATTAAATAAGGTTCCAATGAATTCAGTTCTGGCCCTTTTACAGTTACACAGTGACTCTAGACTAAGTCTGTGCTTCATCCTCCCTTCCTACTAGGCTGATTGCTTCCCAACATTTTCAGTAAAAAACAGATTCTCTTCTTATTTAGCGTCTATTTCTGTTAGTTTTATTTAATTAATTTGATAACCATGCTGCATGTATTTCCTTTATTTTGTTTTGTTTTAATCTGCACTCACACATAGAAACAACTGTGTTATTAGATGCAAAGAAGCTACTTCAACAAGTATATTACCTATCTCTAAACTATATTAATTTGTTTTAGGACTCTGTATATTTTAATAAATGATTTTGAAGATTGTTTAGATTTCATGCAATACCAGGACAGAAATTCTTTGATAATCATTCTACTTCTGCAAAGTTCTGGACAAAATGCAGCTACTTTAATGAGCTAACTCAGCACAAAATTAAATATTAACAATAATATATCTTCTCTGTTTAAAAAAATCTCATAAATAAAGCTTCTTTGAAAGAAAAATAGAGAATTTCAGTGTCCACTGACTTTAGGGGGAAAAGTAATTGCTGCATTCATGAACATTTAAATTCTAAAATGTAAAAATATGAAATAAGATTAAAATAATGGCAAGTATTATTTATTAAATAAATAGTGTCCCATCCACTACAGGTGTACTAAAGTAATTTGCTAGAATGAATCCCAAAGTAGGTCTTACACCCTGGAAATTAATAATAGTTCACAAATTTTGATGAGATGAAATCAATACCATAAGGGAAACAGGAACAGAATTCTTGAAGAATATTCATCTTCCATATAAATTGTAAATTAAAATCTAATATCTGGACTTCAGTTAAGACTGAAACAATCAGATGCAGACCTAGAGGTAAATGTCAATCTTATGGTAAATCTTATTGTTAGATATTAGTTCTAACTACAGTGGTTTCCACCCGGTGGGAATAGAGATTTAATCCTATTGGTCGAAGGGTCTGACAGCTCCCTATAAAAGGGCTGCTGTCAGACTCAACTTTCGCTGGATTGTTCTCACTTGTTGTACTCAATAAAGAGATGTTGTTCCAGCCTGTGTGTGTCTATCCATTACCCAATCTAACACTGGCGACGGAGGTGGGATTGGAAGGCAACTAGGTGAATCAAAAAGAACCTAGCAATCCAGCAAGTACATCCAGCCCAGATGTACTTCCTCAAGGCAAACGACCTCATGGGCATTCCTGAAGGCCACAAGAAGAACATGTTCCTCAGATACTGTGGCCGGGAAGTGTTCGAGATGGCAAAAAACCTGTATGAGCCGATACCGCTTCAAGCAGTCCCCTAGTCTGCGCTGCAGCAGACGCTAAGGACCCACTATGCGCCCAAGCCGTCCAAGCATGTTCACTGGCATGAGTTTAATATCAGAAAGCAGAAAGAAGGCAAGGCAAGTCAATTAATGAGTACGTTGCGGCGCTTTGCAAGGCTGCTGCATACTGCAAATTCCAGGTCCTGGACGAGATGATTCTGCACCACATAATTTGTGGCATGCGGGACATTACCCTGCAGAGGAGATTAATAACTAAATCTAACCTCACTCTGCAGATTGCCTTGGACGAGGCCAAGGCATCCGAATCAGCCGCCAAATCTACTGAGACTCAGCAGAACCAAAGAGTACCACAAGACGCACGAAAAAGTACATGCGTACATCGCGAGGCTGCAGATCTCGAGAGCTCAGAAGGCGAGGAAGATGACAGCTGTCGCATGCGCAGTAGCCGTGCCCAGCCACATGTAAATTCAAATCACATCTTCTGCCTTATGCTAGTTGCGGAGGAGACTATGCCAGATCAGCTTGCCATTTCCGCAATGTCAGCGCTGCAAGCGAAAGGGGCACATCGCCAAAGTGTGCTGGAGCAAATTGCCTGCCACCACCTGGCAGCCTAAAAGTGCACCAAGCCACCAACAGCGGCCCAACCCAGGGGCCTGGCAGAAGCCGCCACGGCACCAAGGGCAACAATAGAGTCACCTACCATACGTCAACAGGCCAAGTCCGCTCCAGGCGGCCAAAAAAGCTGAAGGTCACAGTCCTCATCAAGGACTCTCCATGTGAGATGGAGATCAACACCGAGTCATCACTGACCATCATACTGTGATCTACCCTAAAGCAGGCTATCCCTAGCCTACAGAAGCAGCACCTACGCACCCCTGACATCCGCCTATGTGATTACCAGGGAAACCGGGTCCCCATCATGGGCCAAGGCACCTTCTGGGTGAACTTCAAGCAATTCAGCGGGAAACTCCCAGTGACAGTGGTCAGTGGCAACCTGCAGAGCCTCCTAGGGCTAGATTGGTTCTAAGCTCTGGGCCTAGAAGTGAACGGTATCAACGCCTTGAAAGACGACGGTGCTGAAGCCATCGTTAAGGAGTTCGAGGATGTCTTCGGCACCGTTCTGGGTAAGTATGTGGGGACTCCAATTTCCTTTAGTCTTGACCCCAGCAGAGCCCTAATTAGGCTAAAACCCAGGAGAGTAACTTTTGCTCTCCGCCCCAAAATTGACAGGGAAATTGACAAGCTTGTGAGCCAGCGAATCCTAGAACCAGTTGATCACGCACTCTGGGAGACCCCTATAGTGACACCTGTCAAATCTGACGAGTCTGTCCACATCTGCGTGGACTACGAGTGCATAATAAATAAAGCAGTACAACAAAGCGCCTACCCTGTACCCATTGTACAGCACCCACTTCATTCACTAGGCCTAGGAAAAATCTTCGCAAAATTGGACATGGCGCAGGCAACAATTGCCTGTAGATGATAGTATACCGGAGGCCCAAACCATTGTCACTGCCTGCAATTCGGCATTAGTATCACCCCTGGACTGTTCCAAAACATCATGGAACGCTTTTTGCAGGGGATTCCAGGAGTCATCCCCTATTCCCACGACATTTCGGTATCGGCTGCAAATGAGGTGCAACTTTAAAAATGCGTAGAAACAGTTTTGGCTCGAATTAGAGACAAAGGCCTCCGTCTCAAAAAAGAAAAATACCGAATTAATGTGCCAAGGGTTCCTACGGTACCTGATCGATGGTTCTGGGATTCACCCAAGTACACAAAAAATTTAAGCTATTCGGGACGCCCCCACATCTCGCAATCAAACCGAGCTGCAGGTGTCCCTCAGGCACCTTAATTTCTACAGCGTCTTTCTCAGACAGAAAGCCACCATTGCTGAGTCCTTACACCGTCTCCTGGCTAAGAATATGAAGTGGTCCTGGGGCAGAGCTGAGGCTGCCACATTTGCCAAGGTAAAACAACTCCTATCGGCAGACTCCTTACTAGTCCAATACAGCCAGACCCTGCCGTTAGTGCTGACCTGCGACGCTTCCCCCTTCGGCATTAGCGCTGTCCTCAGCCACTGCATGCCTAACAGAACTGAAGCCCCTATTGCATTTTACTCCAAGACCTTGTCTGCCGCTGAGCAGAACTACAACCAGCTGGACTATGAGGCATTGGCTGCAGTGGCTGGAGTAAAGAGGTTCCATGAATACCTTTACGGCCAGGACTTCGAACTGTTTACTGACCACAAGCTATTGTTGAGCTTACTGGCTGGGGACCGATCTACCCCAGTGTCATTATCACCTCGCATGACCAGGTGGACCATCTTTCTAGCTGCCTACTCCTACCGCCTCATCCACCAACCTGGATCCACCTTGGGGCATGCTGACGCTTTAAGCCACTGCCCATTGCCAGAACTTCTCGCTGACCCTACCCCCGAGACACCAGTCCTTCTCATTGACTGCATTGAGACTGGGCCTGTCTCATCCAGTGACGTTGCCCGTCACTCTGCAAAGGACTCCACCATCAAGCAAATTTTGAACTGGGTGTAGAGGGGGTGGCCCAAGGGGCCTGTTGGGGCTGATTTCAAAATGTATTTTGCCAAACACTATGAGTTATCGGTTGTTAATGACTGTTTACTGTGGTGGGACCGGGTTTCCACCCAAACAGTTTCCACCCAAACTGTGCATTGCAGTATTAGAGGTGTTATATGTAGGGCACCTTGGAATTGTAGGAGATTTGGTATACGCCCACAACTACACTGGGGAAACTCTGTGAATTCCTGCCACAGTGATAGGCATCACCGGGCCTCACTCTTACCTCTTAGAGCTTGAGGACGGTAGGAATTGGAGGAGGCATATTGACCAACTCTGTGGCCGCCTCTCCAACTCCACGCTTAGACAACCAGAGGTAACTCCTGCACAAGTTAGCCAAAGCCCTACCCAAATGGAGCAAACACTCACTCCTTCCATGGCTAGCTCAAGGCCAAGGGTACTGGGAAACTTATTTGGTTTTGTTGCAGGCCCGCAGCGAGCTCCGAGCAAACCGGCTCTAAAAGCTCCAGCCGCAGTCTGTGAAAGGTTCCAGGAGCTTCCACCAAGTGGAGCTG